TTTGACCGGATGCGGACAGTCATCTACATCTGCGCGGATAACAAACGAGATTGGAAGACGGAGGACAGCGTCAACTTCTCTTTCCACCAATAGCCAGTTCTACAAGTTTAGCCCATGCGCAGTCTGGTAGTTGATAAGAAATGCCATCCTCTCCGGCGAGGCAGGCGAGTTCGCTTGTTTTTAATGGCCTCAGAGAGAGAGAGAGAGAGAGGGAGTTAGACATCGGTGACAAGTGACAGCAGACGCAACATCAGCCGAGCCGACAATAACAGTACCGCAGTACCAGAATCGAGGATGCAGCTCCTCGCACACCTTGCGAACCACCTTGCTAGTTGTGACACTGGAGTTGTGCTGTTCAAGCAGTCTGGGATGGCTCGACGGTCTTGGTGAAGACGGCATGTGGCACCTAATATCCAACAGGCTAAGTGGGTTTATTTCCATTGCGATCACTTGAGATTGTTTCTTGTTCCTAGTAGTGCGAAGTACACTGCAACTCCTATTATGCGTCTGGCACTCTGCTTTCTTCTTGGTTAAGGGTGTACGGTAGCAAACGTTCCTGATTACAGCTAGCAACTCTCCATCCACCAACTGCTATACAGGGAACCATTGGCGATGGTGCATGAGGACGACGCGCACGAAGGAGGCACCAAACGAAACTCGCGAAGACGAGGAGTGAGTTGATGAGGATCGCCCTTCTAGCCTTGTTCTTACGCTTGTCTCTTGAATCCATCCCAAAAGCTCCACTGATGACGATGGCGCAGTTTAGCAGCTGGTCCGTTCATTCCACTGTTAACTGTTTCCGTCTCCAATCAAGTCTACTTGGATCCTCGATGCAAATGTGGGATGGATTTCGAGCGCAGCAACAAAAGACGCTGCGTATAATACTGAGGTGCCTGATTACTGTTTCTAGTGGAATCAAGTGCATTTACATGTAGCACAGAGTGCACAAGTACATGAGAAGGGCAATGTGTCATTTATGCACCAAAGTCGGTGACTGAAACTGCGAATGTGGACTCCTCGAAAACGCGTGTGTTATGCGAGGACCAGAGCATGTTGCCAATGTTTTAACCAATGTTTCAAACTTCCCTTCCTCTTGTCTGTAGTGCGTCGACATTGGCGGAACTTGATAGCATCCGTCACACTGAAAACCAAGGGGACAAAGTCCTCTCATGAACCGAGAGTTGGTTGAC